ATTCCCAAAGCTCCCTGCAGTCCCCACTTGCTGATGCTGCCCCTTTTCCTCTGCACACCTGTTTCAGGAATGGGTGCCCACTGACTGGCTTCATCAGCTGCACTGGCTGCACTCGAAGCTTCTTCCAGTCTTCATTAAGGATTTGAGTCTTTTCATGAACCTTTGCAAAGTTGGCCACAAAGAGAGCCTGAAAGGAGAGAAAGGAGCTCTCAAAATTTAAGAAAACCCATTGAGAACTCTCACAGCACTGAAACGGTTCAGCAAGGAGATCCTGTAAAAACCAGCTGGAAATCAGCTCTCCTGCTGCAGTTACACCAGTGCTTGTTCAATGGCCTCGTGCATGTGCCAGCTGCTGCCCACAAGCTCAAGGCAGAGCACGAGCAGAAGTGGCATCTCTTCCCATTGATCCAGCTTGCAAGTCAAGTACAGCTTATCAATTCATCTTGCTGACACCCTCTGGCACCATTCACTCTGAGCTGAAATGAAGCTTTTTGGTGCATCTCAGCCCAGTCCTTGCTGTGGCTGTACCTTTGCTCCCATGTTTGCCTGGAACCTCTTGAGCTGCCGCAGACGCATGTACTCGGACTTGACTTTCCTTTTCCAGTACATGATACACTTGGATGTCGGAGGAGTGGTAATTTCCATTTTTCTGTAACAGTACAGAAAGAATAAGCATTAAATAATGGAGAGCTCAACCTCGAAACAAGTGGTATTAGAAAAACGCCCCTGTGGATGGGAAAAACACTCTATGCATCACAGACCTAAACCAAGCAAAATAACGCCGTAGCTCTGCAGTGCTCCTGACTGCGGAACACTTCCAGCCCGAAACAGGCCCGGGACAGCAGCGAGGGGCGGTGCTGACCAGAACCGCCCGTCCTGCTCCCCGAGCCCCCGGGGCAGCACGTGAGCCCGGGGCTTGCTGCGATCCCCGCCCTCCCCCGGGACACGCCGCCGGAGAGCCGCGGCTCCACTCCAGCCGGGCCCGAGCGCTCCCCACGCCCGCCAACAAGAAGCGGAGCGAGCCGAGGCCGGCCGCGCGGCCGGGCCGGGGGAGCGGGTCCGAGTCCCGCAGCTCTCCGCCCCCGGGGCCCGGCTGGTCCCACGGGGACCCGCTACCCCCGGGACCCCCGGCCCCGCCCGCACTCACTGTTCGGCCATCGCGACAGGGGGAGGCCGCGCGCCCCCGCCGCACTGCGCACGCGCCGGCCCGCCCCGGGCCCGCCCCGAACCCGCCTCAGGCCTCGGCCCCCGGCCCGCCCCGGCCCCGGCCCGCCCCGGGCCCGCCTCAGGCCTCGGCCCCCGGCCCGCCCCGGGCCCGCCTCAGGCCCGGACCCCGCCTCGATCCGCCCCGGGCCCGCCTCAGGCCCCGGGCCCGCCTCGACTCGACTCGACTCGGCCCAGCCCGGCCCTGACCCGGCCCGGCCCCGGTCCCTCACACACCAGGCCCCACCCTTCCCCGCTCATACCCAGGCCCCGCCCCTCACATTCCCCAGGCCCCGCCCCTCTTATCGCCAGGCCCCGCCCCTCACACCCCAGGCCCCGCCCCTCACACCCCAGGCCCCGCCCCGCCCCGCGCCGCCGCCGGTGCCGGTGCCGGTGCCGGTGGGGCCGGGACGCGTGGCCTGCCCCGGCGGAGCGGACCCGTTCCAGCCTGGAGGACACCCCTGTCGGCCGCGGGGAACGGGCTAAACGCGGCGGCTCGGTGCCGTGCCCGCCCATTCCCGGCGTGCCTGGGCCCACCCGGCCCCGGCCCGGTCTTGCGGGAAGCACTTGGCGGGACAGCGCCGTTCCCGCCCGGTTCCACCGCACTCCGAGTCCCGGGACAGCCCTGCTCGGTGTGGGCGCGCTGCCCGACGAGCCGTCCCGGTGGTCCCGGGTCCCTCTGGCCCCACCGCCGGGCCTCCCAGTGGCGGCGCCGGGCAGGAAGCGGCTGCTGGCGGCAGCTTTCCTGCCCCGGGGGCCCCGGCGCTGGGGAGCGGACGGAGCTGGCTGCTGCCCCGGCGCGGCCCCGGCCGTCCCCCGCCGGCTGCCGGCTGCCCCGGGGCACCTTTTTGGCAGGGTGACTGCGGGGGACGAGCAGGGCCGGCCGCGCCCGCAGCCCTGCACCCCGCCCGCATCTCGGAGCTCCGCCGGGTCAGGCGGGGCGGGGGCCCGGTGTCCCCCGGCCCTGCCGGGCATTGGCTCGGGAGCGGGTCGCCAGCGCTGGGACGGGCCGGGCTCCGGGATAGGTGACCGGGTGAGTCCCAGCCCGGGCGCTGGGATCCCGCTGTCGGTAGGATGAGGATGCTCCCTGGGCTATGGCTGCTCTGCTGCCCGCTCCTGTCTGTGCTCCCCCGGGTGCGGCACAGGCAGCCGGGGGTGCTGCACGGAGGCCCCAGGGGGTTGGGCACAGGGTCTGGCACACGGCGAGTCCCCACAGGGCACCTGGCGTATTTCTCTCCTCTCCCAGTGCAGCTGTGCTGGAGGACAGCTTGCCTGGTCTCTCCTGGCCTTCTTTGGAAGGATCTCTGAGCAGGGTTTGCCACGAACTTGTCTGCCCCCAGGGCTGGTGTTGGCTCAGAAACTTCTCTTCCAGGTTGCAAGGACCAAGGCAGAACCAGGAGCCCTCTGCTCCCTTAGCCCCTTCACCTCTACTGTGCTCAGCTCAGCCTGGGAGGAGGAGGAGGGGTCTCTGATGTACTGGGACCAGCAGCTGGGCACCGGGGCTGTTCCTGGCTGTGCAGCCCTGGCATCCTCTGTCTCCTTGCTGCAGGCCATGGGAACACTGAGCACGGGGATCTCAAAGATGAAGGTAATACCCTGGTGCCATATCCACTGTGGCTCCAGCCCCCTCCAGCAGTGCTATAGTGGGGGGCTCTATCACTGGCAGGGCAATGTCCAGCACCCCTTGGACCTCACATGGTCCCACTGGTCCCACCTCCACCAATGTCCTTCTGGGTGCCTTCTGGATAAGGATGGTGAGTAGAGCTGCCCTCTTGCCATCCTAGCTGTCCTCCCCATCCATCGCAGACCTTGGTGAGACCCGTGCAACCTCTGCTGGGCTTGCAAGTGCCTCAGAGGCTCCCTCCTGTCTAGGCTGATCCCATGGGACCCCTAGGGCTGTGTGTTGAACTGCACAACAAACAGGAGTGCCTGTCTCATCCTGGGCAGAGTCCAGGGGTGACCCCAAACAGCCCTCCTGAAACCACAATTAGTGGGGGAGAGCTGGGAGTGGGGGAACATCCTAGGGTCTGTCTGGTGCTCTGCAGGACCTCTGGAGGTGCTGCTGGTGCCAGCCCACTGCCAGGACACCTACCAGGGCTGGATCTCCTTCTACTGCTGGGCCCCTTCCATGCCACCCTCATGGCTATCCTCAAGGGAAGTCACTGCCACTGGGACCAGATCAGCAGGTGGGTCAGCATCAGCCCCAGCAGTGCCACATGCACCCTCGGAGCAGGGCCATCGCAGGGATGTGTCCCCAGCCCTACAGGCTGGCCTCATGCTGTCCCCTCTGCAGCACCTACAGTGAGCTCTCCAGTGGCATCCAGCTGCTGGCCAGCTGCTCTCCTGCCTGGGCCTGTGGCCATCCTTGACACCTTCTGTCCACTGAATACTTCACCAGCTGCACTGAGGCCAGGCTCCCCAGGCTGGGCAATTGGCCCCCAGCGTGGCTGTGGCCAACAGGCTTGGCTGCCTCGTGCCCCTCGCAGCTGCCCTCACACTCAGCAGAGCCCAGACAGGGGTTCAGATCCCAGGGAGAAGCTGCCCATCTCCTGAGAGCCCCCAGCTCTTTGAGGGGCCAGTGACAGCCTCCTTCCCTCGCAGACCTGGCAGCTAATGAGTGGGAGGAGAGGACTGAGGGTGAGGGTGACAGGTCAGAGCAGGGATGGAGAGCTTGGGATTCCCTGGGAATGGAGTGGGTCCCATGGCATGAGAGGGGAGGCTGGGCATGGGGTTCCAGATGCCTGCATCTGCCTGGGGGAACACTGGGAAAAGAGTGTCAGGCAATGGGCCGATTCCCTTCCTCGGCACCCCAGATGAAGGCTGGCAGGGAATGCCGGGGATGCCAGGCTGGGTGGGGAGCCCAGGCCCTTGGCAGGCAGCCACCGTCCTGTCCCTGCCCATCCCCTCCGGACGCCCCGGGAGGGGGGCGGCCGTCCCAGCCCTCGGGCTGCACTGAGATCATTGGGTGTCTCCCTGGCAGAAGCTCCTGCCACCCGGCTGGAGGCTCCGCCGGCTCCACCAGAAAGAGCAACCAGTGGCTCCAGCCCTGCAGCCACTGGAGTGCTGGGGATGACTTCCAGATGTGGCCACTCGCCCGCAGAAGGTGGCTGCTGCAGCCTGGGAAGCATCAGACAGCTCTGCCAGGACTTTTGCTGGGGAGCTGAAGCCCAGTGCGATCCACAGCAGGGAGGGTCCCTCCGAGCTGCCAGGCACTGCACTCCAGTCCCTGCTCTGCGTGCCTGCCGGCGGCTCCTAAAGGGGAGGCTTTGGGCTGTGCTCTGCCCCGGCCAGGCGTGAAAGGTCCTGCGCAGGAATGCCGCAGAGCCGCGGGCTGAAATCACCCTCTGTGCGGGGGACACGGGCCCCTGGGCGGGAGCTGCTCCAGGAAGGGGGGCTCTGGCAGAGTCAAGCAGGCGCCAGGCTGGACAGTGCAGGAGGAAGGCACCGGGGCCAAGGACTGGCAGGGTCGGCCAAGTGTCTGCCCTCTCCCCACCTCCTCGGCCTCGTGCCTGGGGGTAGGTTGTGTCATCACCCTTCCCTCCTTGGCCATGGGCAGGAGCTGGGCTGCCCCGGCAGTGCCGCCTGTGGGGCAGGTGCCCGGCTGAACCAGAAACTGCGGTTTTGGGGCCGTGGGTCCCCCCGCCGCCCCCATTCCCGGGCGGCAGCACCCGTCCGGGGACATTGTGCTTTCCCGTCCACTCCCCCCGCTGCTGGGCTGCCTGCCCTCCACGCAGGAGACGAGGGATTTCACAACCCAGCCCAGACAGGATTAAAGAGAAATACACAAGTAAACAAATCGCGGCCTCGTAACGCTGGACGTGCTGTGCAGGGAGCGGATCCTCCAGGCCGGTGGGTGAGGCGCGGGCGCCGTGGGTGCCGGGGGTGCGGGAGCGATGCCCGCGGGGGCCGGCACCGCACGGGACAGCGCAGGGTCCGGCCGGGAGAGCCGCTTCAGAGCAGCACTGAGCAATCTCATTTTTCACACGTCTCCTGTAGTCAAACTGCCCCTGTCAGAGGAAAGGAGTTGCTTCCTGTTATTTCCATTGAAATCCTTGTCCCGGTCGTTAGCCGGCGGGCTTTGGCAGGATGGCACCGCGCGCGCACATGAGCTCCGGCCGCCTCTCCCGAGGGCTCCTGCTGCTCTGCGGTAAGTGCGCGGGGCGCGGCCCCGGGGGCTCCGCACCCCGCACCACCCCGCACGTGGCCGCCCTCCCACTCGTGGGGCCCGGGGCCAGGGTCTTGACTCAGCCCGCCCCATCGCCCCACCCCAAAATGGGACCAGCCTGTCAACGCTGAGGTTAGCTGGGGCAGCCGTCGCTAGCATGGCCGGGGGGCACTGGCAGGTGGGCACCAGGTGCTGTGGGCAGCTCCCACCACGCTCAGCCACGATCTGGCAGGGAGCCCTGCGAAGACCCGGGCTGGGACAGGAGCTGTAGCACCACACATGCCCAGGCAGGGGGTGGATGGGGCCATCAGGGACAGAGATCGGGACAGGGTGGGCTGCCCTTACCACAGCCAGTGTACCAGCCCAGGAGCACCCCGTGGCCGGCGCCCAGCTGTGCCAGAGCTCCCCACAAGCAGCCCAAGGAGGGCCCAGTCTGGCAGTTCAGCGTGGAGCCAGCATCAGTGCCCCACACTACGGGCCTGCAGCTGAGGGCAGAAGATGGATCAGGCAGTTTCCGTGAGCCATGGGGCTCCCGTGGGCCAGGCGAGACGTGCCCCACGCCCTTGGCAGGCTGTGCTGGGTGTGGAACTGATGGCAGGCGGAGGGGCTCTCCAGCGGTTCTGTGCTGTGGCCAGTGCTTCCTCTTCCTGCCCCAGCCCTGTCCGGCTGACACGCAGCACTACGCTGGCTCCCCATGGGTGGGGGTCCCAGTTTGTCCCCATGCTGTGACAATGGCCTGGGGTTTGTAGCCCCTAAACAGCCCCTCTGAACCTTTGGATAGCTGCCTGCAGCTCCCACAGCCCCTGCCCATATGGGGGGCTGGACGCCTTAGCTCCAGCTTGTGCCAAGCTCTGTTTCCCTGTGCCCCACCTGCTGGCTCTGGTGCCCCCTGAGGGACGCCCAAAACCAGTTATTTCCTGTAGACCCAGCCTCTGCCAGGGCAGCTCCTGCACATGGAGCCCTGTCAGCACCCTTACGCCCCCCCCCACCCCCAGACCCTCTGTCCCCTCTCACCCTGTGTCCCTCCCTCTGCAGTGCTCCTGGGGACTGGCCTTTGTCACACAGACGCCGTGAACGTGAGCTTCATCCAGGACACTGTGACAAGCCCACCCACGGCCATGTCCAACTGGGCAGACCAGTCCATGGGTGAGTGTTGGGGTTTAGCGAGGGCTGGGCAGCACTGCAGTACAAACGGTGCCCTGGCCAGGGCTGGCTCTGTGCCACAGAATGACCCCTTCTTTCCCCTAGCCATCCCAAAAAGAGCTGGCCCGTGCTATGAAGCTCTCCCTGCCACTGCCCACAATGGGGGCAGTCAGCAGCAGCCCGGCCTCCCTATGTGCCCCTGGCATTGCCCTGGGCTGCTGCAGGCTCCAGGCAACATCCCAGGGCTGCTGTAGGGTCCATCCCTCACTGTGCTGATGTCTCTCCCACTGGCCTGGGCAGTGCTCCAGATGCCAGGTGTCACCTGGCAGCACGGGCAGGCAGGGATGCACTGTGGGCAGAAGCACGCTGCCTGTGCTCAGCACCTTTCCTCACAGAGAGGAATTATGCCGACATGACAGAGGAGTGCTGGAAATACTTCGTCTCCCTGATGGGGAACGTGATGACATCGGAGTTGTGCGAGTGGAAAGTCATCAGCAGGTATGTGGCAGCAGGACCTTCCCCTCTGGCAGCAGGGGCGGGGGCTGGGCAGTGCACAAGGGCGGTGCTGCTCCGGGCTCTGTGCCCCCGGTGTCCCATCCCCTGCCGCTGTCCCGGCTCTCTTCCAGGCCCTACAGCGCGCTGCAGCGCTGCCTGGAGGACTGTGCCGAGAGCTTCAACTACAGCTACCCCAACGCCCTGGCGGAGCAGTACATCTTCCAGAGCCACCACCGCTACTTCCACAACTGCACCCTGGAGCAGCCAGTGTACTTCGACCCGCCCGAAGATGTGCTCCTGGCCATGATCATCGCACCCATCTGCCTCATCCCCTTCCTTGTCACCCTGGTCATCTGGCGCAGCAAGGACGGCAAGGCGCAGGCCTAGAGCTGCCCTCCCGTCCCGCCTCGGGGCACGGACGCGCGGCTGCGGGGCCGCCCGGCCACCCGAACCGCCCGCGGGGCTCTCGGGGCCACCAAGCCGCGCTGCTGAGCCGGCCGGTTCCTCCTGCGCCTTCCCCCCGCCGCGGCCCGGGATTAAACGCTTCTCCCCCCACGCCTGGCGCTGGTTCTTCGGCCGCTCGAGCCCTCCACGGCCCCGGCCCGGGCCAGCTCCCACCGCCGGCGCCCCGGCAGGTTCCTGCCGTAGGGAACGCTCCGGCGGGACACCGGGGCCAACACCGGCGCCAGAACCGGGGCTGCCGACCGGGAGGGGCGGGGCTATAGGAGGGGCGTGACAATGCAAATGAAAGGGCGTGGACATGCAAATAGGATGTGTGGACATGCAAATAAAACGCGCGGTCATGCAAATAGAGGGCGTGCTCATGCAAAAATAGGGGGCGTGGTCATGAAAATAGAGGGCGTGGTCACGCCGGGAGAGCGTGGCCCGCGCGGGGGCGTGGCCATGGGTGGGGACGTGGCCCACGGCCGGGCCGGAAGCGGGGCGGGCGGGGCGGAAAGCGGCGGCGGTTCCGGCGGTTCCGGTGGCGGCGATGAGCTTCGTGTGGCCCTGGCAGTACAGCTTTCCTCCCTTCTTCACGTGAGCACGGCCGGGGCCGGGACCGGGAGTGTGGCTGGGGGAGGCGGGGCGGGAAGCGGGGGAAGCGGGAGCGCGGGCCGGTGCCGCCGGTGCCCGCCCGCCGCCGTGCTGACCCGGCCCCCGCAGGCTGCAGCCCAACGGCGAGACGCGGCAGAAGCAGCTGTCGGCCTGGTGCGCGCTGGCGCTGGCGTACAGCCAGCAGCACCGGCTGCCCGCCATGACGGTGCGGGAGGCTCAGGACATCCCGCTCTTCGCCAACCACCGCCTGCAGCGTATCCTTTGCGCCCGGTGCCCGCGGCCCCGCCGCCCGCGCCCCCCTCGCCCCTACCCCCCGCCTCCGTCAACGCCTCCTTAACCCGCGCCCAGGGAAGCTGCCGCTGGAATCCATCCAGGTGGTGCTGGAGGAGCTCCGCAAGAACGGTGGGTGCCTCGTCCGTCCGTCCGTCCGTCTGTCCGTCCGTGCTCCCGACCCGCAGGGCAGGGAGGGCAGCAGCCACCGGGCAGCTCCGTCCCGGGGCCCGGGCTTGCCCATCCGGGGCTGCTCGGGGCTCCGCGGGACCCAGCCCTGCCCCAGCAGGCAGGGAGGAGGGGGCTGCAGAGAGAAAAATCACTTTCTGACACGGCAGTATTTAGTGTGCAGGGCAGGGGCTGCTCCGTGAGGCTGCCTTTGGCTGCTGTGTCTGGCATGTGTCCCGAAATCTGCATGTTTGACCCTTATTTCTGACTTGTGCTCTGCTTCAATCCCTGTTCTCCGTTGCTTCTAGGGAACCTGGAATGGTTAGATAAGAACAAAACCAGCTTTCTGATCATGTGGAAGAGACCAGAAGAGTGGGGGAAGCTCATCTATCAATGGGTGAGAGCACAGGGGCTGCACACCCAGACCCACACTGTGTCCATGAGGATGGGGGGTCCTGGCTGCCACTTGGGAAAGATCACTGCTTGCTTCCTCACTGCTTTTGCCTTTCTCCTTGCACTTCTCTCTGTTGCAGAGAGGTGAGGACTTGTTAACAGCTTGCACTTGCTGTGAGCTGCAGGGTGAGGGTGGTGTTGTCCACCCTCGGTGCTGGGTGACCTGTGGTGAGGACAGGGCAGCGTCACTGCCTGGCCCAGCTATGGCCCAGGTCCTCACTGTGGGACACACAGGCAGGAGGAGCAGACCTGTCCTCATTCCCCCAGGCTGCACTTCCTGTCCCCTCTGCCCCACGTGTGTCCAGGGTGCTTATCACGTGCTGTGCACACTCTGTGTTACTCTCTCCAGGATGTGTGAGAGATTGGACAAGGATGTTCAGCCACATGGATGAAATTTGCTATTTGTGTTTGCAGGTGTCAAAGAATGGCCTGACCAATTCTGTGTTCACGCTGTACGAGCTGGTCAGTGGAGATGATACAGAGAATGAAGGTAAAGCTGGGGCTCGTGTTCTGGAGCAGGTTTTCAGAGCACGCTGGATTGGAGCATGTAAACAGTTGATTGTCAGATTACACTTCTATAGATTAAATATTTTAAAATCCCAGATGCAAATTCACCCTTTCCCACCATTGGCACATGCTGCTCCAAAGGTTTTTATCATTTTGCAGGAACATCCCCCTGTGTAATTGGATTTTCCCTTCCCCAGTGCCTAGCACTTTATCTGGTGTGGTGAGGGGTGTTTTGTTTTCAAGCCAAGCTCCAGCTCTGTGTGGCAGGCTGCTGTGTCTCATCCCTGCTGCCTGATGACCTCTAGGCTCTGTTCCCTAAGCAGAGGTGATGAGCCTGTCAGTGTAGCCATGACTTTGGATTTGCTGTAGTGTTATGATGTTCTTCAGAGCCCTCAGCATTGCTGCCCCCACTCCCTGGACCTCACAAGCCTGTAGCTCATGGTGGCTTGACCTTTCCCTGTGTGCCATGGGGTCATGTGTAAATCAATTCCTTTGCCCTGACAGGCGATGACTTTGTGTGGTGTGAATCAATATATGTCCTGGAAGAGCAACTTTGAAATACATATCTCTTTAATGTGTGTGTAGATGGGGAATTATATCACGTAAATGCTAATTTACACACATTGGAGACATGGGTGAGTAGTTAGTTCATTCCCCGACACCAGAGGAGAGTCCTGGATAAAAAGTGCATGAGCCATTAAAAAGAGATAACACTTAACCTTAGCTGGTGATGCATGTGAGAGTGACACCGTTACTGCCTTGGTGGTGGTGGAAGAACAAGATGTTCAGTGGTGCTTTTGGTTTGTGCTACAGTGTTAACAGGGTGTGTGTGTCAAGGTTCTTGTACCTTAGCCATGGGAGCCCTTTTACTGGTTGGAAATTAAAGAACAGGAAACACAGAAAAGCTGCTGTGATTATAATTGACTAAACTGTGATAAAAGAAGGTCTGTTTGTGGGCTGCCATAGCCCTGCTTCTTATTTGCTTGCTGTGAGGCAGTGGCATGCTCCCCTACAGTATGGAGGGTCATAATGGTTTCTGGCAAGTTTTTCCTTCCAAAATGAGATTGAGCCAGTTGAAGAGAGCTGCTCAGCTACATGCTATAGAACTGCATTATACATTACATCATTCAGCAAAGTTCCTGATGGGAAACAGGAGAAGTGGGGCTCCATTAATTGGAAAAATGATGTTATTTTTTTTTCCTGTTGATGGGGATCTTTGTCCTTCCCTAGAGTTTCACGGCCTGGATGAGGCTACGCTGCTGCGTGCCCTGCAAGCCTTGCAGCAGGAGCACAAGGCTGAGATTATCACGCTGGATGACGGCCGAGGCGTCAAGTTCTTCTGACAGGAGCCTCCTCCCCTTCCCTGCTGCAGTCTCGGGTCTCCCTGCCAAGCATTCCTCTCTGGGCCTGGCTTCAAACTGTGACTGCAAGTAGCTGCATCTCGGGATTTCTTGGGTCAAGATGAGTCTGAGAACCCTTCCAAAGATTTAGGAACATCCTGAGATCCTCTCTCTGGCTGTTCTCCCTGTTGATGTGTTTGAGAGGCTAAAGCTGCTCTAGGCAGTTCTGAGAGGGACCACCCAGAAGTGAAACTGGACTGCTGCTGGTCCCTGTTCCTGTGATGGCCTCGAAGCAGTCCCAGCTGGCTGGTCAAGCTTGACCTCAAAGAGCCCCCCTGCATCCCTGCCAGCCACGTGTGTGGGTCCTGCAGTGCTGCTGCAGTGCCAGGGGATGAGGCAGGAGTAGGGCACGGGCCTACGCTGTGGAAGCCCTCAGTGGCAGAAGGAAATGCACTTGCTGCCAAGCAGGCTGGGGGAAGCCAGGGAACTAATTTCAGGTGATTAAAATGAGATGTATTTATAGAGCAGCCTGGCTGTTTTCATCTATCTTTATTTTTCCATCAGAGACAAAACAGAGCAGCGTACCAGATTTTTGTCCTTCAGTCATATTTCCTTGCTGCCCCAGGGAAATGCAGTGGTTCCAGGGTGGGAAACACCACAAGAATAAAGGAGAAGGGGACCCTTGCTGCCCTTCTCAGGACAACATTTACTTTAAATTTGCATGTGCAGCCTGCTGGAAGCCCCTGGGTTTGTGCAGAGGTGATGGGGTAAGCTCTGTACCACTGTGGCTCGGAGAGCTTTAGGCTCTCAGTGCTGATAACAAAGTCCCCAACTTGTCAGAAGCTGTGGCCAGGTGCAGTTGCTGACCCTGTCAGCCCTGGGGAAGCAGATGGCTGTGCTGGGGCAGGGTCACCTTTCCCTGATCGTTGTCTGTATGTCACTGGCAGAGGTTGGGGGCAGGCTGGAGTGACCTCAGGTCAGACCAGTGTGGTCAGTCTGGGGGTCCAGCAGAGCAGATGGCACTTGCACGCCACAGGCTGCCCCTGTCTGGCATTCCCTGCCCTTGGGGCAACCTGGCACTGGCTCACCTGCTCCTGACAGCTGATGTCAGCATGGGGGAATTCTCAGTGTAGGTGAGATGCTGGAGTCTGGGGGCTGTGAAATGTGAAAATTTGTTCTGTAGCAGGAGCCCGTTGACCTGTACACTTGGTGGGATGTGCTGCCCTGGTGTGGGCACATTGCTCTGGAACTGTGGCAGGAGCCCAGGCTTCCTCTCCATGCCAGGCTCAGCAGTGCTGTGGGGGAATTCCTGAGTGCCAGCACTTCTGTGCTGAACAAAGGCACCAGCAATGCTCCTGAGTCACTGACATGATGGGCTGGTGGGGTCTCCTTTCTGAGGACCATCACCCCTGGGAGCTCTGTCATGGTCCTGCCACTGAGGGTTCTGAGCAAACCCAGCAGCAGAGGCTGTGCCATGAGCCCTGCAGTGCATCTGTCCCCACAAAACTGGCACAGCCTCTGCTTGATCAGGGATCATCCTCTCTGTCTGCAGCCACCAAAGTCTCTGTGTAGGATTCATGTGCTCCCAGTGTCTGCCCTGGGTTTGTTTCCATGTCCAAGATCTGCCTCTGCTTTCCTCCCCATGCCACCTGCATTGCCCCTTCCCTCCCTGGCTGCTCCTGTAGCCCTGCAGGGAGCCAGGGTGCTGTGCCTGAAGGTGTCTGCCTTTGATCCCAAACAATGATCCTTCAGCAGCCGGGCTGGAGTGTCTGTTCTCGCTGCCTGTGTGCACGATGCTGACCTCCCAGCACTGTGTTCCAGGCTGGGAGTTCTGTATGTAACCTGGCTGTCCTTGAGGGAGTCTGTGTTCTTAATTAAATTTGCTCCCTTCTTAGGAAATGGCTGATGTGACATTAGATAAGCCTAAAACCAGCTTTTCATTCCAAGGCACTCCTGGCAGCAATTCCCGTCTCTTTTTCAGCTTCCTATTTAGTTGCTTACTTAGTTGGGGGGGGGGAG